TTTTATTTCACTTTACAAATTCGCTTCCACAATTTCAGTGGTTCAAATTCAGCAGAAAATTCAGCATTGCACATCCGGGAACTGCAGGAATAGCAGTAGAGTACCGATGCATGATCTGCATCTGCTGTTAGTCGCTCACCAGCAGGTGGCGCAAGCAGGCGTTGATGGAGTCCAAAGCAACAGGTAGAGCAAGTCATTCATTCACAAAAACTGATGCTATTTTGATGCTATATTGATGCTAAAAAATGCTATTTTGTCCAACGCTTATATACAGAATTAACATTACATCTAAGACATATTGTTTTCGGTTGCTTAGTTTTAACTTTATATCATGGCTTGTGTGAAGCTGAGTTGTAATACTGGGGTTTCCCTCTGACATCACACTCCAGGATTCCCCAACCATGCATGCCTCAATGAACTAATACAGTGATGTAAACAAGACCTCAGATCTCACCTTACTGATGATGCAAACTATACAGGCAAGCAGATGTACTCAGAATATAAAAGTAACGCGCAAGGTTTCACGCGATTTCCCTCAGAAATCTGTTACAAGGAAAACGCTTCATACGGTTCAGTGGACTAACATGATAGCTTATTAAAAGACCAAACTCAGAATACACCTTACTGATGATGCAAACTATATACAGGCAAGCAGATGAAACCAGAATACAGTACGTTTCCCATAAAAGAAAACACTTAACACAAATGTATTCTCTGACAGCAGGTGGTGCCTATGGCACAACAGCGATATAGAGTTTCCTTGGTTAGTGCTGTAAACAAAGCAGCGCTGCACTTATCAACAGTACTTTAATATGCATTATATGAAGGTAAGAGGAAAAGAAAATCCCATTTCTGAAGACGATCAGTTCCTCTCAGAGATACATTCATGTAACCCCCCACATATTTGTCTTCCTCGAGCACCGTGACTGCCTGGTACAGTATTTTCTCCTCTTTACAGACTTCATAAAAATTCCACACAAATTACATTTTAATTTCAATGCAGTTTGTGTGCAATTCTGGAACAGAGATCAGCCAAAATAAAAACCGGCTCAGATTTATAGCCGGTCAACCGAAACTTACCCACACTGCTGATTTAAAACAAGCAGGCGGTTCTTCGAGCTCTTGCATGCCATCTGAACATGAACTCTCTGTTCTTGTTTTGGGTTGGTGCGCAGATCATCTCTTCTTCTGCTCTTTCCTGTTGTGACGGTTCCTGAATCTGGATTGATCGCACTGACTGTATTCATCATCTGACTGCATGAACCGAACCGTTACGGTACGGGACGAATACATGTACCGTTACACCCCTAATCTGTACTCTACTGCTAACACTGCAGTTCCCGGATGTGCAATGATGAATTTTTTATTTATTTATTTTTTTGCCAAATTTGAACCACTGAATTTGTGGAAGCGAATTTGTAAAGTGAAATAAAACGGACTGAAAATTGCCTGTCAAATATTATACATTGTATTTTTTAAACAGATTATTTTGAAAGTGAATTCTGGAAGGTGAATATGAATTACTACATTTTTAATTATGAAAATGTGTGCGAAATTATTTGAATTGAAATATTCACAGCTTAAATAAACAACTGTTACATTTCAGAACCTAAAAATGCAAACCCAGAAAATGCAAGCACTGTTAATGCATTATTTTTTCAGTTAGTGCAATTCAACATGCTTTTTTGTTTCAAAGACATTTGTCTATTTTTCTTCCATATAGTTTAAGCTCTGTGATCAGCATCACTGTCCACTTCCATTGAAAATCTTTTGAACTTGTCCTCCAGTTTGAGAAAATCATGGAATATTTAGAATATATTGAGTTTCATGTATCTGCAGTTGTAATATTCCTGCAAATCTTTCCATAAAATTAATAATTGTTTTACATCATCTGTTGGGTGTATTTTAACAGGTTTACCTAAAAATCCTGATAAACTAATTGTGTTCCTTATGATGTCTTCACAGGAATCTGGTATAATATTCTAAGAGGAGTCGCAAAAGTGGCAGTTATTGTCAATGTAAGTGTGTCTAATAATGTAGTATATCACTAGCTGTCACATTTACCTTTGAACTGTGAATTTCCACCTCTTTTTTTCCACAGCACTTTATATTCTTTAACAGTACCATTATAAACAAGTGTCTGAGCAGACATTGCTCAGTCAGAGTTCACTGCTAATTCAAGTGACTTCTTATTGGTCAACACTGCAAATTTGCATGTCAAATCCAACCCTGTAGTGCCTCAACTCCACACTGAGTTAATGCCATTAAAAAAAACTAGAAATCGTAGCACTAGAACTTCCGTCCTGTTTGAAAATATTGGAAGCAGTCTTTGGATTCATGTAACAGTGACCATTGAGCTTCTGAAGAACTGACAAGCTATTGTCAAGCTAACATCAGATCCAAAGATAGCCCTTGGCAAACACAAAGCCACATCGCAAAAGTGATTGTACTGTAGCAGATGATTGTCAGCTTTGTTTATTTATATAGCGCTTTTAACAATACAGATTGTGTCAAAGCAACTGTACAGCATTGATTAGGAAAATATTGTGTCAATAATGCAAAAGGACAATAGTAAACACTCAATTTTCAGTTAAAGGCAGTTCCTCATTGAATTCAGTGATGTCATCATCCAGCTCAGTTCAGTTTAAATAGTATCTTTGCAATCAAGTCAACGATATCGCTGGAAATTAAGTGTCCCCAACTAAGCAAGCCAGAGGAACCAAAACTCCATCGGTGACAGAATGGAGAAAAAACCTTGGGAGAAACCAGGCTCAGTCGGGGGCCAGTTCTCCTCTGGCCAGACGAAACCAGCAGTTCAATTTCAGGCTGCAGCAAAGTCACATTGTGCAGAGGACTCAACTGGTTCCTGTGGTCTTGTCCCGGTGGCCGTCTAGGAGACAAGGTCCTCACTGGGGATCTGTCTCTGGGGCTCATCTAGTTGTCCACATTCAGGACATTCAGGGATGTCGAGGTCATCTCTAGGTCCTGATCCACCATCTGGACTAGATATGTACTGGATCCGGGTGGCTGCAGTGACCATCTGATCTGGATACAGACTGGATCTGGTGGCTACGGTGACCTCAGAATAAGAGAGATACAGACTAATATTAGCGTAGATGCCATTCTTCTAACGATGTAGCAAGTACATCAGGTGTTATGCTAGTTCTTTGGGGTCAAGTTGTGGTTTTTTGATGAGAGGTTTAATAACAGCCAGTTTGAAGGTTTTGGGGACATATCCTAATGACAATGACGAATTAATTATAGTCATAAGAGGATCTATGGCTTATGGAAGCACCTCTTTTAGTAGCTTAGATGGAATACATATACATGTTGTTGGTTTAGATGATTTAACAAGTTTATACAATTCTTCCTCTCCTATAGTAGAGAATGAGTGGAATTGTTCCTCAGGGGATCTATAGCGCACTATCTGATGCGTTACTGTAGCTGACGTCTGCATGGTTACAATTTTATCTCTAATAGTTTCAATCTTGGAAGTAAAGTAGTTCATAAAGTCATTACTGCTGTGCTGTTGGGAAATGTCAACACCTGCTGATGCTTTATTTTTCGTTAATTTAGCCACTGATTGTGTCTTTTCAAGATTTCACTTAAACTTCTTAAAAAGTTTTAGCTAAAAAGTAAAGGAAAATGAGCATGAGAGCGCAATTCCAAAAAAAGCACGTGGAAAGTTCTGCGGGTGATCTACTGACAATGGAATGGGCCAGATTTACTAAACAAGGAAAATGAGCATGAGAGCGCAATTCCAAAAAAGCACGTGGAAAGTTCTGCGTGTGACAATGGCACGTTAAAGAACACAGATGTAACATCTCATTTCCATAATGACCAATGCAATCTACCAAGAACAGTGCAAATGAGCATAAGGTCCCAAACAAGCAGAGCAAATTAAAAATAATGTTGCCACATTATTTATATATGGTAAACAATGTGTTTGGATAATGTCTTCCTCTGGCATTCCAAATAAATTAATACAAATGGAAAAAATTCTCTCCCTTCTACCAAGCTCTGTCTGTTCTGTTCTGTTCTGTTGCTGCTTCCTCCTGGCAGCAACAATTGCAGCCATGTCAAGCACAAAATGGGTTAAGACATGCTTTTTTGGGCGGTAAATAATGGCGCAAATACCAGTAAATTGACTACCACATACCATAGTAAATAATTTTGAGTGATTCATGTAAATTCTCAGTGTTGGGCAAGCTACTTGGAAAATGTAGTGAGCTAAGCTAACAGTTACTCATCATTAAATGACGCTTCACTACACTAAAGCTACAGCCCTGGGAAATGTAGCAAGCTAAGCTACAGCAACATGGCAAAAGTAATTCACTACATCTAAGCTATTTTCAAAAAATTTCATTTTCATTTTGCTGTCGGCCAGTAACGTCCTATTGGTAGTTGGTAGGGATGTGCCGATACGAGTATTGGTACCGAATGGTTCACGGGGCAAATTCCAAATGGAAGTGATCATCCCTATCTCCTTGGAGTGGGGACTTGGAGTGAGCACGGCACATGCGTGCCATTATGTAGTCGTTTGGAATTCACTTGGCAAAGGGAGCGACGTAATTTCCTCATTATCTTCAGCTGGCACCGTGACAACGCAGCACGGTGTCCGTCAGCAGATTCGTTGATGGACACCAGCATAAAAAAAAAAATACATTTTATATTTTTAAAAGTTTTTATATATATTAGTTTTTATATATTATATAGCATATTTTTAAAACTTAAAAATATAAAATGTATGTTTATTTGCAACAGTTATGCTAACAACAATAAAAAGACATTTATGACAGTAAAACAGCAACATCTGCTGACAGACACGTGCTGCGTTGTCACGGGAAAATCCCAGCTGAAGATAATGAGGAAATTACATCGCTCCCTTTGCCAAGTGCATTCCAAATGACTACATAATGGCACGCACGTGCCCTGCTCACTCCAAAGTCCCCACTCCAAGACGTGCATCGCAGAGCTAGTGCAAGATGAGCATTTGTGGTTAAAAAGTACATATTTTGTTTGTTTGTTTGGAAAATGACTGATCATTTCACTAGATAAGACCATTATTCCTTGGCTGGGATCGTGTAGAGCCCTTTGAAGCTGCATTGAAACTTTTCAACCCATCCACTATATGGTGAAAAATTAGGGCTGCCCTTGACTAAAGATTTGTCTGGTCGACTAGTAGTCGTTCATTTGAACCATTAGTCGACTAATCGCACATTTATAAATAAACCATTTAAATAATAATGAGCCTTTTATTGCCTACATAGCCTAATAAAGCGCTCAAGTGCACGCATAAAGCTTGCCACGGCACACTGGCAGAAGTAGCCTAATGATTATGAATGTGTCAGGGTAAAACAGTAAGGAGGCTGCAATAACATTTTAGTAATTCAATGATAAACTAGTCGAGTGCTTTCTTTGTTCTCGGTTTAAGAGATGAAACGGCAACACTGACTTGTCATCTCTGCAGTAGTGATGCGTCACAAGTACAGTATGGAGTGCCACAAGGCTCAGTACTAGGACCATTGCTTTTTACACTTTACATGTTTCCCTTGGGAGATATCATCTAGAAACATGGTGTTAGCTGATGATACTCAGCTCTATATTTCTTCGTGGCCTGATAAAACCTACAAATTTGCAGAACTAACGGAATGCATACTTGATATAAAAAACTGGATGACTAGCAATTTCTAGGGGTGTAAAGGTACACGTATTCGTACCGTACGGTTCACTGGGCAAATTTCAAATGAAAGTGCACGTCAGCTCCGCTGATCCACTGACGTACACCGGCATAAAAAAATATACATTTTATATTTTAAAAGTTTTATATACATTAGTTTTCATATATTATATAGCATATTTTAAAAACTTTTTAAAATATAAAATGTATGTTTATTTGCAACAGTTATGCTAACAACAATAAAAAGACATTTATGACAGTAAAACAGCAACATCTGCTGACAGACACGTGCTGCGTTGTCACGGGAAAATCCCAGCTGAAGATAATGAGGAAATTACATCGCTCCCTTTGCTAAGTGCATTCCAAATGACTACATAATGGCACGCACGTGCCTGCTCACTTCCATTTGGAATTTGGCCCGTGAACCATTCGGTACCGATACTCATATCGGCACATCCCTAGTAGTTGGTATTGTGGCTTTATTGCAGGCTATACAGATACATTTATATAAATGGTAACACTTCACAATAAGGTTCATTAGTTAACATTAGTTAACTAGTGTAGTTAACATGAACTAAGAATGAACAATACTTCTGCAGCATTTATTAATGTTAACTTCAATATACTGTATACTAATGCATTATTAAAATCAAAAGTTGTTTTTGTTAACATTGGTTAATGCTCAGTGAACAAACTTAAACTACCAATGTATGACTGTATTTTCATTAAATAACATTAACAAAGATTAATACTGTAATAAATGTATTGTTCATTGTTTGCTCATGTTAGTTAATACATTAGCTAACATTAAGTCAAGTCAAGTCACCTTTATTTATATAGCGCTTTTAACAATACAGATTGTGTCAAAGCAACTGAACAGCATTAATTAGGAAAATAGTGTGTCAATAATGCAAAAATGACAATAGTAAACACTCATTTTTCAGTTAAAGGCAGTTCATCATTGAATTCAGTGATGTCATCATCCAGCTCAGTTCAGTTTAAATAGTATCTTTGGAATCATTTGCAATCAAGTCAACGATATCGCTGGAAATGAAGTGTCCCCAACTAAGCAAGCCAGAGGCGACAGCGGCAAGGAACCAAAACTCCATCGGTGACAGAATGGAGAAAAATCCTTGGGAGAAACCAGGCTCAGTCGGGGGCCAGTTCTCCTCTGGCCAGACAAAACCAGCAGTTCAATTTCAGGCTAGCAAAGTCACATTGTGCAGAGGAATCATCTGGTTCCTGTGGTCTTGTCCCGGTGGTCGTCTGAGACAAGGTCTTTACAGGGGATCTGTATCTGGGGCTCATCTAGTTGTCCTGGTCTCCGCTGTTTTTCAG